ACAATGCAAGATCACTTGTACAACTTTAATGAACATCCATAATTTCTATTAGCAAGGGTTAAGCCATCGTAATTTTTGCAACATAGAGATAAAAGAAAAAAAGAGAAGGCCAAATGTCCAAAGGAAACATTTCATTATGTTTGTCTAAAGCAAACCATCTGAATGGAATCTTGAATCAAATGATGTCATTTCGACAAAATCATGCACAAGTGGCCTGATATTTGGTCACCTAATGAATAAGTAAGACTGGAATTTAAAAGGGGTGCGGTTTGTATGGTGCCTAGGCTCTAAACGATCAAATTAGGGCCTACCTTCAAATGGTGTCGAGAAGTGTGGTTTAAAAATTAGAAATCTTTGCAATAGCCTTAAAATATATTTTTATATTTATTTATAAATTTTAAATCTTAAAAAGTAGTGTAGATTGACATATTTATGAAAACTTGAAAATCTTAAAAATTGACAGTTCAAATATGCATTACAAAATACATCATTTTCAAAACTTACATTCCATTTTTTTCTCATGTCCACATATCTTGATGTAGAGATGATTAATTTATGAAATTTTTGAAGTAGGCTCAAATTTGATCGTTCAGAACCCCAGCTCTATATAAACTTTTCCCATTTAAAAAACACAGGTAAATTGTAGCCTACAAATTGCCAAAAAGGCTGTCAACTTCTAAATTGCTAAAAGGCTGTCAACTCCCCTTTGCTGACTAAACCCATGCCATTTGAGTTAGTCATCAAGCCAAAATTGTATATATCCCCTCAGTGTGTGCTGTGATTCAGACTCGGTTGAGTAACTCGGCTTCCCCTTATGGGCGTGACAAGTTTTGCCCTTCTCGAGTTTGATGTCTATAATTTATAGATACTTATATGTTTATTCTAATTTAAAAATGTTCAAAGGGCTTCTTTTCCTTCATAGAGAGACGTGATATGCATGAGATCGAGCCACACTGTTCTTTAGGTTTGTTGCCCAGTCGTGAAGGGTACATTCCTAGAGTTGAGGTCTAAACATGGTACTAATAGGAACTTCACTTGACATAATGAATATAGGATATAGGGCTATTATGGCCATGGGCTACCCCCACAGACTAGGCCAAGGCCTAACATGTGGGCACGAAGTACTTTTGGGTAAGACACTAAAAGCATGTGCCCGATTCTGTTCCCACCCGAAGAATAACTCATTTTATGAAAAATAAAATATTTATCAATAAATACAAGTGACTGTAACTCTTCTTATGTAAAAAGAGAACATGAAATGAATCCCTGTCACAGAATTAAGGGAGAATCAGCCTACATTTCCAAATTTGCAACATAAGTCACCTTATGAGCTTATATTTCATTTCAGTGCAGAAGATTATCCATTTTACTTCTTCAATCGACACCTAGAAACCATGGCCACAAATTCTTCTATGTTATTATCGGAAGTACCCCTCTCGGCCACGGCCGCCCTAGCCAACCCTTTCCACCTTTGTGCATTCTCCCTAAACTCTGCCCCCTTCTCACCATCCATGATCTCCCTTATGCACCTCTCCAGTTCTCCTCTCTGAACCATTTTTTTGTCGTCGACCTCGACGCGAATGCCCATCTTCCAGACGTCGGAGATGAACTTAGCATTCGTTGGCTGGTCGCTCCACTGAGGAACTGCGACCATAGGCACCCCTTGGCTTATCGCCTCAAGTGTCGAGTTCCACCCGCAATGAGTCACGAAACAGCCAATGGCCCTGTGTGCGAGGACATCGAGCTGGGGGCACCATGGCACCACAAGCCCTTGCTCTGTTGTGGCATCTAAAAATCCATCGGGTAGTGAATTTCTGCCCTGTTCGTGTGCACGTGGGGGCTTCACCACCCAAAGAAACGGCCGCTTGCTCGAACGCAAGGCACTAGCAATCTCCTCCATTTGTTCGGTAATCAGAGACGCCAAGCTTCCAAATGAAACGTACACCACTGAGCCATCCGGCCTCTCATTTACCCAACCCAGGCAATTCACAAGCTTCTCTTGTTCATCTCCTGTCTTTGTGGTTCTTGTATTTCTGCTGTCCAAATAGAGTGAGGGGAGTGCCGGTCCGATCATCTTCGGAGACCAAGGTTCTGCCATCCCCTCGATCACGCCTGCCTCTAAGCAATCAAATGAGTTCAAGAGCACATAATCTGCCTTATCTATGTTCTTGAACTGGCCCAATAATAATTCGAGGAAGAAACGATCGGCTTCTGGTTGGGCTATAAACTTTGGCAAGTCTTGTAAGCCCAATGGTGGCATTCCCGGAAGCGAAAAGCATGCATCAGGCTCTGCCTGCATTACAAGAGCGCCCCTGTGGTAGAGGGAGTACATTGAGGAAACTGCATAAGACTGAGTTAGGAAGGTGACCCCGAGTATGCCATGGGCGTGGGCAATGTCCAAGGCCCACGGAAGGATCGAGTCATAGATGAGGCACACGGGTTGCTGACCGTCTACAGAAAGTCGCCCTATGAGTTCGCCCAGTGTTTGTGAGCCGACCCGTTGGAGGGTGATGTCATAAGCCTCAGGATCAAAGGTTAATGGCAGGCCATCGTCGCAGCCATCGGAGATGTACTCAAGGTGGGTGGTGGCGAGGGTGGAGGTGTCGACCTTGTGAAGAATATCACCATGGATTCGGAGAGGCACCACTAGAGAAGCCTTGACGCCCTTGCTGGCTAGTCTATCTGCAAACTGAAGCAATGGGTTTATGTGGCCTTGGATTGGATATGGCAGCACCAGGACATGCGAACTCTTAGCCTTCCCTTCCTCCATTTTCACTCTGTTAAAATTGTTTGACCTTGGTGTAGAGGACAGCAGGAACAGAGAAGAACTGGATTATCCTTCCATTGAGCCTTTCTTGATATGTTTGCGTTGATCTCACTCATTTAATGGCAATGTGATCCATGATAATTATTCCTAAAAGACAAATAGTGAGACGTCATGGATTATTTGAGTGGTGTCTAGATGAATGTCCCAATTTACGGTCCATTTGGGTTTGGAAGATTCTTTTCCTTTGGTCTCCAAGATGTCAGAAATCCAGAGGACTGGGATTTTTATGTCATTTGGTTTTCACAGAAAAATCTTGGATTTGTAAAAGAGAATTTGGATTTTGCTTTCATTACCATTTCACAAAAAACTATTGGATTTCACAAATATCTTGGATTTTATTATCTTGGATTTTATTAATACCATCAGACACGGTTTCAAATCGAATTGACTGGAATGCCCACTTCGCACTACGTCGTGACTTTGTGACATAGATGGTGGAGATGAAGGTCACAGAGACTTTGTGACCTAGATGGTGGTGATGAAGGTCGTGGGTTACATTTAAAAAGTGTTATAATGTGTTATAATTGGAGGTGTCGGTGGTAAAAATGGATACCACGATGTCGGTAGGAATGGATACCATGATGTAGTAACTGGGTGTGGGGATGCTAGCACCACGACCCTAACCCATTTTCTAGCTTTCGATATATGATGTGGTATTGGGTGTGGGGATGCTACCACCGCGACCCTAGCCCCTTTCTTAACTCGCGAGACACTTTGTGAATTGAAGCATGGGGTTTATCTGGCCCTACGCTGGAATGGGGAAGGGTAGGACATGGGCTCTCTGGATCTAGCTCTCCTCCAAATTTCTAAAAAATCGTAACCTTTCTTTTTTTTCTTTTTTTTTTTTTTTGTTTTTTTTTTTTGAAATTTTTTTTCTCTTTCTTTTGAAGGTGGATATGATATAGTATGTTACATCATGGCAGTCGTGGTCTTGCTGTAAAGGAATCAGGTGTGTCCAAGATGGAAGAGTATAGAAATGGATAATAGAACAAAAACAAAGGAAAAAGTTTGTTTGGTTGAAAAAGAGTAAAAATAAAGACACTGTTTCTATGCGGCTAAGCCCGCATACGTAGAAATGTGGGCATCTTAATAAATTTATTTTTGAAATAAATAAATAAATTTTAAAAAATAAAAATAATAATTCTAATAATAACACATTTGGACCGTTAGTTTCCATTATTTTTAGATGGAACACCTACTTGCATCCATCTTTCAGAAGGATGCAAAAACTTTTTGGATCATATATGTAGAAATGCGGTCCATCCCACATGAAATAATTTTCCTAAAAATAAATTCACTATGAACTCTCTCTCTCATGACACAAAAGAAAGAGGTCTTACAAATGCAGATACAAAAGATAGAGTAGTTTACTTGGAAACTCTATCCTTACTTCAGCCTCTGTTTTACACATGCCGACCAAAAAGAAAAAGGACTCACACATACTGACACAAGAGAAAAAATGGAAAGCAAAAAGTTATTCGCCGGAGTAGATTGTTCATTTACTCCCTCGGGTAAAACCTTAACTACAATTAAGTTTAGGATCTCAAATTTGGCGAATATAACTATTTCATGACAAGGATTAACCTCAATAAATTTTTTTTTCTTCTAAGTGTACCTTCTATGTACTTAAAAAATAATGTCTCGAGTTCAATAGAGACTATATAGTTTTTAGATGGTGAGATCTAAGTATTAGAAAACTTAAATTTCAATTTTTGTTTTAGAATAATCATCTGCTAATTAAGTGGTTCTCAAAATTAAAGTTACTTCACGAAGGAATAGAAACATATGGCCTAAACTCCAATATAGAATATTTTTAGGCCGTGGCTTTAAAAAAGCACACCACAAATCTCATTGAAAAAATATGCAAATTTGATTATTTCAACCTTGACAATCATCATCTAAAAAAAAAGATTTCCAGTTCTAAACATACTCCATTTTGTAACGCACGCTTTGGGTCGTCTCTTCTAGTCCTCATAGAACAACCAGATTTGCACCAATATGAGAGCCTTAAATTCAATAGTCAAGGTGGGAATAAATCTTTTCAGCCATCATAAAAGCTTCCAATAGTATAATTACAGTTTTTTGAGCCTCAAATTCAACAGTCAAGTTTCCAAAATTGCAATCCACAACCCCACAAAAACCACACCCTAAACTAAATGACCAATTCACAGGAAACAATAAATTCGAGGGAGACTAACCCATTTTATGAAAAATAGAACATGAAATTAATCCTTATCAGTAATACAAGGGACTGTAACCCTTCTTATGAAAAAACGAGAACATGAAATGAATCCCTTTCTCTTTCATCCGATCACCAAAAGTCCATGTCCCAGAATTAAGGGAGAGAATTAGGCTACATTTCCAATTTTGCAACATAAGTCACCTATGAACTAATATTTTCTTTTCAGTGTAGAAGATTATCCATACTACTTGTTCAATCAGCACCTAGAAACCATGGCCACAAATTCTTTTATGTTATTATCGGAACTGCCCCCGTCGGCAACGGCCGCCCTAGCCAATTTTTTCCACCTCTGTCCATTCTCCCTCAACTCTGCCCCCGTCTCACCATCCATGACCTCCCTTATGCACCTCTCCAGTTCTCCACTCCGAACGACTTCCTTCTCGTCGACCTCGACGCGAATACCCATCTTCCAGACATCGGAGATGAACTTTGCGTTCGTTGGTTGGTCGCTCCATTGGGGAACTGCGACCATGGGCACCCCTTGGCTTATTGCCTCAAGTGTCGAGTTCCACCCGCAATGACTCACGAAACAGCCAATGGCTCTGTGCGCCAGGACTTCGAGCTGGGGGCACCATGGCACCACGAGCCCTTGCTCGGACGTGGCATCTAAAAATCCATCAGGTAGTGAATTTCTGCCCTGTTCGTATGCATATGGCGGCCTCACCACCCAAAGAAATGGCCACTTGATCGAACGTAAGGCACCACCGATCTCCTCCATTTGTTCGACAGTCAGAGCCGCCAAGCTCCCAAATGAGACATACACCACTGAGCCATCCGGCCTCTCATCTACCCAACCCAGGCAATTCACAAGCTTCCCTTGTTCATCTCCTGTCTTTGTGGCTCTTGTATTTCTGCTGTCCAAATAGAGTGAGGGGAGTGCAGGGCCGATCATCTTCGGAGACCAAGGTTCTGCCATCCCCTCAATCACGCCTGTCTCTAAGCAATCAAATGAGTTCAAGAGCACATAATCTGCCTTATCTATGTTCTTGAACTGGCCCAACAATAAATCGAGGAGGAAACGATCGGCTTTGGGTTGGGCTATAAACTTGGGCAAGTCTTGTAAGCTCAATGGTGGCATTCCAGGAAGCGAAAAGCACGCATCAGGCTCTGCCTGCGCCACAAGAGCACACCTGTGGTAGAGGGAGCACATTGAGGAAACTGCATAAGACTGAGTTAGGAAGGCGACCCCGAGTATGCCATGGGCGTGGGCAATGTCCAAGGCCCACTGAAGGATCGAGTCATAGATGAGGCACACGGGTTGCAGACCGTCTACAGCAAGTCGAGCGATGAGTTCACCCAGTGTCTGTGAGCCGACCCGTTGGAGGCTGATGTCATAAGCCCCAGGATCAAAGGTTAATGGCACGCCATCATCGTAGCCATCGGAGATGTACTCGAGGGGGATGGTGGCGAGGCTGGAGGTGTCGACCTTGTGAAGAATATCACCATGGATTCGGAGAGGCACCACTAGAGAGGCCTTGACGCCCTTGCTGGCTAGTCCATCTGCAAACTGAAGCAATGGGTTTATGTGGCCTTGGATTGGATATGGCAGCACCAGGACATGGGAACTCTTAGCCTTCCCTTCCTCCATTTTCACTCTGTTAAAATTGTTTGACCTTGGTGTAGAGGACAGCAGGAACAGAGAACAACTGGATTATCCTTCCATTGAGCCTTTCTTGATATGTTTGCGTTGATCTCACTCATTTAATGGCAATGTGATCCATGATAATTATTCCTAAAAGACAAATAGTGAGACGTCATGGATTATTTGAGTGGTGTCTAGATGAATGTCCCAATTTACTGTCCATTTGGGTAGGAAGATTCTTTTCCTTTGGTCTCCAAGATGTCAGAAATCCAGAGGATTTGGAATTTTCTTTTATTTGGTTTTCACAAAAAAGTCTTTTCTAAAAGAGGATTGGGAATTTTCTTCCATTTGGATTTCACAAAAAATATTGGATTTATCAAATCAGGGATTACTCTATTTGTGGATTTTTGTGCAAACAACCCACTGTCCAATGTTCCATTTGAATCCTATTTTTTGAGAATCCATGGTATTCAACTCAACTGTTGAATCTATTTCTCTCTCTTTCATATTCTCTCCTTTTCTGAATGGTTGGTTTTAGGGTTCTTTAAAACCTAAGTAACATGATTAGGGAGATAATCTTCAATGACGCTACAATAACGCAGGTGGCATGGTTGGAAAGGATGAGATGGATGAGATGGTCAAAATTGTGAAAGATCAATAGAATAGTGTTGGTGCGTTAGTACTAAGCCCTAACCATAGGTTTGTCATCATGAATTGGACCGGGTCGACCAGTTGGGCCTATGGATCCAAGGGGTCGACCCTACCAAGTTTGGACTCGATAGGTTGGGTCTGGATCCAAATCCATGTTAGACCTAATCATGTCGGGACGGTCACAGCCGATATGCAACGACCTGTTATTTTCTATCTAGAAACACATTTTATGTTATAAAATATAGGGTGTGGTTTCCATAAGGTTTCAACCTTAACAATCCAGGTAAGGTGTACCTCCAAATTTTATCATAACATATAATTTGGATACAAAAAATTCATAGGATTATCTCAAAATATATTTTCATATCTAATTATAAAATTTTAAACTCTAAAAATAGTTTAAATCAAGTAGTTCTATAAACATATGAAAATCGTGAAAATGGACGGTCTAGATAATGTGTTGCAAGATGCTCTATTTCTGAGACTCAAAATATTTTTTATTTCATGTTCATACATTTCGATGTTGAAATGATCAAATAGAGGATTTTTCAAAAATAAAACAACCTTTTTCGATAGATTTTTGAAGTACATATGTAATTCTATATTTTAAGGTTGCAACCTTATATAAAATTTTTCCTAAAATATATCTGAAATATTTCTTTAAAGTTTTGTTATATTTTGACCCAAACCTAACCCGCCAAGCAGATCCCATCAAACTGGACTATCCAGCATCTGGGGCTGACCTTGGACTTTTCCAGTTAGGCTGACCCGACCCAGCCTGGATTACACCTCGGAATTGGATTTTCTTCAACATAACCACGGGGAAAACTTACGGTTATTTTGGATATTCCACTGTTCCAGTTACCATGGTAAGAAAATCTTGTATTTAATCACTTAAAAAAAATGCCCTTACCAACTAATAATTAAAATCAAAGTTCAAAAAATATATCGGTGATCTGGATGGACTACCCCAAAAACTATTTTAGATCGGTGGATTAGTGATCCGGAAAGAGTAATCAGCCGGATCGGCAAGATCCGACTTTAAATTTTTTTCAAAAAATCATTATAATTTCTTTAAAATCTAGTTTTTTAGATTATCCAAATTTTATTTGGTATTGTATAATAATTTTAATTATTTTACTAAAAATAAATAACTACTGAGAACATGTCTCATGTCTGAGCGTTTGTTGTCTGTTATATCCATTTTATGGTAAAAATTAGATTTAAAATTTAACTCATTGTAATAAAATCGATATCCATAACTCAATTTTTTATAGTCAAAAAAAAAATTTCTTCAATAGTTTTGGACCAAAAAAAAAAAAAAAACGATGATCATCTCAATGAGCTAACATTGGGAAAAAGTGTTGGACCACGTGGGTAAGTGGTTATCACTAACATGTAGGGCGTTACTGTTGGCCAGTTCAGTCGGTTCTTATTTCAAAAACCTCCAACACGGGACGCCTCATTATTAGCGGGTTCTTTCTTATTTCAAAAACCTCTAACACGTGTTGTTAGCTGGTTCTATCGGTTTCGAAATGTTTTTATTTCAAATCGATGGTTTAAAAAGCGGATCGGTGATCGGGATCGGACATCTCAAAAATCGATTCGAATCGACGAATCGGCGATCCGGATAGAGAATCGGCTGAATCGGTCGGATTAAAGTTTCAAAAAAATCTGAAAAAATTATTAAAATTCATTATAAATATTGTTTTTTAGGAATCCAATAAAAAATGAAGGTACTAAATTATTAACTTTCATTTTTTTAATCAATTTATGAATATTGAGATGCTCCTTCCCTGTATAAACTTATATTAACCATTAAATTTACATCACATAAAAGAAAAATGATAAAATTATCATAGATAAAGTATATAATTATACATGGACTATTATAAAGAGTAGACTAATCAATGAAATAATGGCCATTAAAATCTTGTTTTGGCGAAAAAACCTAATCCGTTAAAAAAATCTAAATTATTACGGCCTAACTAAATATAATCCAAAATTATTAAAACCTAACTAATTATAATATTATATACTGAAATTATAATTATTAGTTTACATTTTATAATTATTTTATTAGACAAATAATAACAAATTAAAAATATTTTATAATATTACCTAATTTAAAATGTATTATTGACAACTGTAAGAAAAATAGTACATTACATGATTTATAATGTAAAAATTAATAAATAAAATAAAATATTTGGTTATCAATGTAAAAATTAAGAAAATGCGTACAAATTTTGGAAATAACACTTCAATTTTTAAAAAATATTTTTTTAGGTTTCCATAATAAATTTAGTGAAAAAGATTGTTAGTAGAAAGATGGAGATTTCAAATAGAATAAACTTTTTATGTTTTATTTTTTTATACTTTTCATATTATTTAAAAAAATAATTATACCACTATATACAAAAAAAATTACTTGTTATACAAAAAATTAATTTTTTTTTATGATTTTTAAATTATTTACAAAAATATTTATACAATATATACAACAAAAACTATACAACACAAAAAAATAACGGCCACGAGGGGACTCGACTTTGAAAAGTCACATGAAGAAACAACGGTCTTAACCACCACGCCACCTCACCATATGCGGTTATAACTTGATGATTAATATAATATATTTAAATTCTATTTTCATTTAATGATGTTTGTGAATTATCCCACATCGAAAGAACCAGGTAGAACCGGACAGAACCAGATTCAAACCGGCAGTTCTTCACACGTGCACGTGCACGTGCGTATCGCACGCGTGCAGGGAGGGAACCGGGTAGAACCGGATAGAATCGGATTGGAACCGGCTGTTCTTCTCTAGAACCGAGCGGTTCCCGATTTTGTATCGGAACCTTTTTGTTCTTTGCTTTAGAGCAACGTTGAAAAAATGGGTCGGTGATCCGTATCATAAATCTCAAAAACCAAGTTGGATTTGAGGTTCGGCAACGGATGAGAGAATCAGTCGGATCATTAAGATTTGTATAAAAAAGTTACTAAAATTTTTTCAAAATATAATTTTTTAGTTTTTTTTTAAAAAAATAGAGGTATTACAATATGATTTTCTATTATTTTGTTGAAAATACATAAGTACGAAGAATTTGTCAGATGTTTGGGTGTTTATTAACCATTATATTCACTTTATCGTCAAAATGAAATTTAAAATGCAACTAATTACAATAGAATGGATATCTTTGACTCAATTTTATAGTGAAAAGAAAGGAAGTCTATAACAGTTTTGGACCTTTTAGTTTAATTGAGAGAAAACATGGTATGACCCTCACAAATAAATGAATCTAATATGTAATAATTAATATGAATAAATATAAAATTTAAAAACATAAATTTACAATGATATTTTAATAAAATTTTAAAAAATAAATAAATAAATTCATACTTGTAATGTGGAATAATAGATAACACTTTGAAAATAAATTTTTAAGTAGTATGGACCAGTTTTAATTTATTATTATGATTATTTTTTAACGTTCGATATGTTAGTACTATTTTTAAAAAAATATTTAAAGAAAATAATATTAATATATATTTTTTATTAATATCCTATGAGCTAATATTATTTAGTATTTTTTTTATTCCCAACAAGCTAATATCCTAATATTAATCCCATGAGCTAGTACAGTATCAGACGAAATTTACTCACTATTCACTAGTATCTTATGGAAATAACGTCCACACTTGTTTGCAAATGTAGCTTATATAATGGGATATGGAAGAGCCAATCGTGGTGACTCGGATGTGAGTGAATCGGTGTATTGCGTCTTATTCAATAAAAGAGACAAATCCCACGTCGAAAACGTGTGAGTTAAAAGGCCATATAAAATAACTTAAATGTTGGAGTTTCGTAGACGTTATGTGGAAGCCAACGTTGGACAATGAAGACAGGTAAAATATGTGGGGGAATCAACGGCCGCGTATCCAATGATGGAAAGCTTGTTGGTGGGCCACTACTATTTTTTTTTAATCGAAAAAGTTAGGAACTACAAATTTAAAGATTAAAAAATATAGGAACTGGTTCTTAAAAAATATAGGAACTGGTTCAATTGTCTGGTTCTATCTGACAGAACCGGATCGCTTTGAACCATCATTTTTTAGGGGGACTCGACCCTTTTTTAATTGAAAAAATTAAGAACTACAAATTTAAAAATCGAAAAAATATAAAAACTGGTTGATCTGATTCTCTCTTACAGAACTGGTATGAACCGCTTTAAACCACCAGTTTTAGGGGTACTCGATCGGCTCGTGATACATTATTAGATCCGTCATCGATTTTTCAAATGCCGGTTTAAAGAGAGGGGAGAGAAGAGCTATGAACGACGTTCAAAGAGAGGATTAGTATTTTTAAACCGGTAAGGCCTCGGGCTCGGCTCAGTCCTAACCCCATTAATGGGGCAAAGGCAATGAGTGGTCCACCCGAAGTCTTAAAAAGTTCAAAAAAAATAAAAAATATGAAATTTTGAGAGTGA